CTTGTTTGGTGAGGACACAAGAGAGAGCCTTCTCAGTGGCTGCTCCTATGCTGTGGAACTCCCTTCCATGGGAGGCTAGGCTGGCCTCTTCATTGCTGGCCAGGCGAAGATATTTTTATCTAAGCAAGCCTTTTAAAATCCTGCAGGCTTGGTTTCATTGGGGGATGAGGGGTTAGCTTTAGATTATTATTATTATTAACTTTGTTTTAAAATTTATATTTGTAATTGTTATATTTTTTACAGTTTTAATTGTAATATTTTAATAAATAAATACAATAATAATAATAATAATAATAATAATAATAATAATAATAATAATAAGAAGTTTTATTTCTAACCCGCCCCTCTGCAAAGCAATTGTGGCAGCGTACAACAAATTAAAACAATACAAGATAAAACACATCACCAAATACCCCCCAACCCTCCCACCCCTTAAAAATAGATTAAACTAGAATGGTATTAAAACAACAACAAACAATAAAATCATAAAACAAAACAACAAACAGTAGCAGCTAGGGGTAAGAGAGCAGCTTAACAAGCCAGACCATCTAGGAGAAGAGCTGGGAGATTACTCCAGGAAGGCCTGTCAGAAGAGATCCGTCTTTACTGCCTTTTTAAAGGCAGCAAGAGTAGTTATAAGACGGATCTCGTCCGGCAATTGTTGCCTTAATGTGTTCGATATATGTTGTTAGCTGCCTTGGGTCCCACTTTGGGAGAAAGGCGAGATTAAAATAAAATAAAATAAAAACATTTGTCATCTTGACCACACTTTGACATATCCCAGTTTTCATCTATGAAAGGTTAGCAGATTAGTCTCTGGGGAAGGCAATGGCAAACCTTCTCTAAATAAATCTTGACAAGAAAACCCTGTGATAGGTTAATTCGCCTTAGGGTCACCATAAATTGGAAATGACCTGTAGGCACACAGGAAGAACACCAAATGTACAAGGGACACCTGCCCATAGTTGTAGTGGCAAATTTTGAAGTACAGATTCTCACGAGGAATGTCTCTACTGATACACCCCCATGAAGGATCTCAAAGTGTAGATGGCTATGTTGGTCTAAAACAAAATCTAGCACTTTTTCATGTCCACCAGAAACTGGTCTTCTGTAAAGCCACCCCAAATATTCTGGATTATATTATATTATATTATATTATATTATATTATATTATTATATTATATTAAATATTCAATGACAGGGCCCATTGATAATGATACATTACTGCTGGGAAAATCAATTCCTCTCCAGCTGCTGTGGGCATTACAGCTAAACTTAAAGGGAAAGGGGGAATGCAAGGAGGTGGCACATGATGCGATAGTCCTTGCTAATCAAACAGTTCAGGGATTTGACTTTGCCTGCTGTCTCTATTCTCAGCTCATGCAGAGAGCTGAGAAGTGGGCTGGGTGGGGGAATGTGACTCTGATAGGTGAAAATATGCTCAGAAAAAAATCATGTGCCACACAGTCTTCCTAACAGCAGGTGACTTTTTAAAAAGTTTAACTATACCAGAAGCTAGCGAGCCAGCATGGTGTTAGACGGGGTGGGTGGGTGGTGGGCTTCAGACTGCCAGAAATAGTGCAAATTGAGTCCACTTTTAGGGTTAGGGTTAGTGCTAGGGAATCATGGGAATTGTTTGTTTTTTCCTGAGACATTGAGCCTTCTCTGTCAGAGAGCTCTGGTGCCACAATAAACTACAGTTCCCATGATTCCCTAACCCTAACCCTAACCCTAACTTAAGGTCCCCATAAGTCGGAAACAAATTGAAGGCATACAACAACAGTAAAATACAAGAAGCTAGAAATCAGCCAGGGTGGCATTGAACTGCTAAATGATGCATCAAATGCAAGTTAAAGGAATACTAAAAGGGAGAAAGCAGACTGTGGAGAAGCTGAATGATTCTTTTGTGTTTCTCTCCTATATACCATTATGTTGACTTCACCTGCAACCCCCTGGAAAATTCTTTCCTTTAGGATTTCTGGCTGGAGTTGCTAATGATGAGAGGGTCTCAGGTAGTCCTTGGGGTGATAATTGCCAAGAATTTCCTTTTGAAGAGGTTACCAGTGTGCAGATGATCTCACTGAAAAAGTCTGGGACATAGAAATGTTAGCAAATGTTATAAGGAAGGATAGTAGTTTGGAAGGA